TAAAAAGCTAGCTGAAAGTGTGAAGTACGTGATCGGGACCAAGTTAGTCAACTCTCTGATTGAATGAATATTCGAAATTAGGTCTCTCAGACAACTACGCGAGGATAATAGCTGGGTGAACAGTTGAACAGTTAAGTCGTCATAGTATTTCTCGTTGAATGTTTCGCATTGATTCGCACGTTGTTCGTCTGAAAGCTATAGCAAAGTTGTGGCTGAATGGTCGCAAAGGAATCGATTATTTGATTCTAGTCACTATATCGATGGCTCATCTGACTAACTACAATATCCATACAAGCGAAGAAAAACTTAACTTTGAATCGTTTTTCGCTGTCAGATAAACGTTTATATTCGCACAGTTCATCGAAATGACGTTTCGTTTTTTAAACGCTTCTAGCAAAATTCTACTCTAACGCCCCAAGATGTAGCCAATTCTATTGCATCGGATTTGTCTTTGTCAAAGTCACGTCTAAAATCTTTTAGATCTTTGCGAGCTGGTTTAATGAAATCCCGTGATTAACAAATATCAAAATCAGCTTTTTGCAGGATGTGAGACACTGTATTAGGCACGCTCAAAAGTTTTGAATGCAATATTACTTAGAACATAAACTCAACGTCTTTTTCCCCCTACAAGTTCTTTATTTTAATATGCTCGCTCAGATGCACACTTGCCTGTTAAAATTATTTTTGATAAACTTACAAAACATCAGCATATATCGGATCCGAATCGCCAAAAAGGAATCAATTCTGCTGGATCGCCTAGAAGGACATAGACGCTTCAGTTCAGGTGGTCTGCCCAATTTTAAATGAAGCAATGAATAATAGGAACCCCGGGATGCCAAATTACAAATTCGGGAAACATCTTCGTGTTTTCATAATGAATTAGTTCAAACTGTACTAGTCGATTTACAGTAATTAAAAAATCGCTTCCAGAAAGGGCTTTTAAAGTGTGTTCAGTTCCACATTAAAAAAAATTGCTTTTGGGAGCCCCTTTTGTCCATGGGTCCCAGGTAATTGCACCTGCCCACGGTAGATACGCCACTGCTTGTCATTCAGTTCTTACAACACTTTGTGCATGAACCCCATTGATTTTAGTCCCTTTCGTCCGACAGCTTGGCGGATAATACTCAACCCGCTTCACCGACAGATCGTAGAGGGCACATTTACTTCCTTTAGGAGAAAGGTGCTTAAATGTTTATTACGCGGGGAACTTTTTGAGACAAAATTCTCCGTAAAATCCAACTTTTCTTTCTCGTGTAAAGATGCCTGACTTCGGAGAGTTGATTTCATCAAGATAAATAAAAATGCTAAAATATGTCTTTAATTAATACTAAAACGTCTGGTACCAAATTTTGACATTGCAGTTTAGTTCAATATTTTTCAATATTTAATTAAGAGTTAAAATAGTGTAAATGGTTTTAGATAGATTCTCTATTCTAAGTATAGTTTAGAAATCGCAGTTTTTGGTTGTTCGCATTGTCCACTATTCAACTTATAAAAGGAATATTGTATAAGTGAGATGATAACGATATTTCATTCGGGATATAATTACGAGACATTTTAAAGAAACTAGGTTGGTGTATTTATCAAACAAAATAATATCAACGAAGAGGAAAATTTTAAAAAAGTGGAATAATTTATCACTCTCCTGGATGTAGTCCAGAATTCATTTGCATACTCTAGTACTTCGTACAAGAAGTAGCCATATTCTCCTGAAACGTTTCCAAAATCTTTTACAGCTCTTACGAATTTATGTTACCGGCGTAGTTTATAGTGTGCCGTGAAATGTAGAGTATAAAATGTGAAAGGAGGTCTTGAAAAGCCTTGGAACAGCGAAGCATCAATGAGAAGCCGGGACATTACGAGACAATATGTTTTTTGTCACCACTCCACGATGTCTTCCCTATTGACCATTGCGTTGAACAATTTAAAACATTTAATTTCAAAGATCACTTAATAAATCGTTTAAAATGGTTTATCCTACATTGTCACAAAAGTGTCTTTTAGAAGTCATTTGGCAAGCAATAAATGCTCTGAGAAACCCCCTTTCTCTACACAGTGCCTCTGACCGGAGGGTCCTAGGTTCAAGTCCCGACGGTGGTAAGATTTTCGACACTAGCTTGTCAGCTAGGTCGAACTCAGTCGTTGTCTGGAGGAGAATTATAGAGACTCTGATCGGTAGTTTCCCGTGGTTTCTCCAATCAATACCAGGCGAATGCTGGGACTGTACCCTAAAAATCGGGCCACGGACAGCGCGCGATCCCTCCCATTTCTTGTCTTATTCTTATCCCTTACTTACTTACTTACTTACTTACACACACACACACACACATACTCAAACTTACACGCATTATTCTACCATCGCTGGTTGGGGAAAACCTCACTAACCAACACATAGGTCGACGCGGGATCTAACCATCAAGCGGGGGAAGATCACCGCCATTTTCCGAGGGAAAAACATGCACTATACTTTCGGGGCTAATGATCTTAGGAGTTGACGCGCTCGGAATCACTAATCCATCCATCCATCCATCCATCCATCCATCCATCCATCAATCAATCCTTTTCTACACTTTGATATACAATTAGAGCAGACATGCCTCGAACTATCGTATCATACAGACATTCCGCTGTCGACTTGTGCATGTTTCTACTGAGAAAAGAAGTCACTTGAATAAACCATTTTAAATACAACATATAAAAATTACATTACATGCGTTGCGCTTAGAGAGCTCTTTACTTGTAACAAAAGGGAATATATGATGCTTTTGCTTCCTTAATTTTTGTCGCAACGTTTCATTCGTTAATATTAAATTGACATATTCTGAACGATCTCTCTACGAGGGAAAGTGATAACATAATTTCTATTTGTCCATGTGCCTGAAATGGACGGAAATAGCGACAGCCGATCTTTGGCGACGATAGCAGTAATTCAATGTGCAGAGAGAAATGGATGGAGACACATTTGTTGGCAGTTGACACTTTGGTTGATTAATTCAAAATAAACACTGCTACAGATTCTGTCAAATACGATATGAAAACAGTAATACAATTTTGATTTAATGCTGCTGGTTGCCAGAATTTAAAATTACAATTACTGATACCAGATTGTTGAGTTTAGGACACTAAAATAATTTTCTATTACTCGTATGTAAAATCCAATGTTTCGACTACTTATTTTGGCAGTTAAATTATTAATTTAACCAAATCGTAAAAAACATGAAAAAATGACAATTTTGGCGATGGCCTTCAGGGCTTCTTCCCCCTGTTGGTAATGCACGGGTTCATTTACATAGAGAGATAACACAAGTATGAATCGCTTTGACGGCTACTGCTGGTGACTTATAGTTAGGTCCATTTGTTCATTTCGTCCATGCCGTCATTTGCAGTTGGCGCTCTTGTAATAGTTCGACATTTTCTCCTGCAATGCCATCGACCGGCATGACGTTAATTTCTTTCCCGACCTGTCAAACTTGTCTCTTCCTACAGTCTATTTTCTACCATGGTATTGCTAGGATATGTATGTATATGTTGTTGTGACCGAAGACCGGCAGTACCCATCCCGTGTTTTTTGGTGTATTTTCACGTTTTTTCACGAGTTGGCTATCATGTCTTTACTACGAAATGTGACCTGAAGTTTGCAGACGTTCCTTGCTCAATACCAATTGTTTTCCATCGATATTGCGTTATATTTGAATGTTTATTTTGTAAACATGCGAGATCATGCTGTTGACTGCCATCATGGCCGCCGCAAGGCCTTTGGAATGAAATATTTGTGGAATCTGAAGAGTTTTCTGAGTGAGTGACCCATGTTTTGAACGACAGTGATGAGAAATTAGATAACGATGAAACAAGTGACATTGCTGTCATGGATAGTGCCCTAAATATTGAAAGTATTCGAAATTAACACACTGGAAATAAATATTAACATTTCATTTTTAATAATTTTTCATACAAATTATTTAATTAAAAACTTATAATGAAAGTACTACCTTGCAAAATTGAGACTATGTGGGTCAATATAATTATTATTATACATATCTATTATTATTTAATATTATCTTTGATGCAGTGATGTGCTGCTGAAATTAACTCGGCCTCACGGACCACAAACATTTCAAAACAATCGAACCTAATTAAAGTCCGAATTAAGCGGCGCGCAGAGATTAAGGCGCGTAGGATTAAGCGTCGGGGCCGACTGTGCGGCGGGGGCGGGCGGGGCGCGTTGCTGACCTCAGCGCAGCGTAACGCGGCGCTCGCCATTGTACTACTACGCCGCCGCGCGCGCCGCCGCACCGGCCGGAGAAAGTCCGCGCGCTAGCGGCGCGCGCGCGGGCCGGCGGCTGCCGATACATACGCGCGCGATGTATAACGCGCGCGGCGGCGCGCCGTCGCGGGCGCGGGAGGGCTGTTGGGTGGGCGATACACGCGGCGGCGCGGCGACCCAGTTCGCGAAGCCTGCGCGCGGCCACGCACAGTGGTCTCGAGTGGGCCGAAAAGTGCGCGTAAGGGGCCGTTCATTCAGAAACTTAATGTAATGTAAACGTACAGTCAACCATAAAGTAAACGTTAAGTAAACGTAAAGTAAACGTAAAGTAAACTTAAAGTAAAAGTAAAGTAAACGTGAAGTAAACGTAAAGTAAACGTACAGTTAATCATAAAGTAAACGTAAAGTAAACGAAAAGAAACGTAAAGTAAACGTAAAGTAAACGTAAAGTAAACGTAAAGTAAACGTAAAGTAAACGTAAAGTAAACGTAAAGTAAACGTACAATTAATCATAAGGTAAACGTAATAGCTTGGTGTCGTGTTATTCGATGGAACCAATCAGAATGGTGAATGTATGCGTAAATGTCAACATGAACATAAGATGTAACCGTGAAAATCTGCATGCTTTACCCTTGCTCGTTCACTTTAACATAATCTGGAATCAACACACTATCGCGAACCGCAAGAACATCTATTAAATTTGTAGCTTTTTGTGTGGGAACGAAATGAATACAGTTTATAAGGTCATTAATTGCCACTCTTCTTCTTCTTCATCATCTTCTTCTTCTTCTTCCTCTTCTTCTTCTTCTTCTTCTTCTTCTTCTTCTTCTTCTTCTTCTTCTTCATCTTTGTTCGTGACATTCTCCATAGAACTATTCAAGTTCATGGTAAACGAAATAATTATCATACTAGCATGATCACACCCATCTTACTTGAAATTATTGTATCGCATGTAGAAATACATATACCTTACATTAATACTACCGATATCGATGAATGGCTGTGTTTATGTTTATGTTCGCGGACATTATAAATGCTAGGTTCATGTTCGTGTTACAAGTACATGCTTATGACCTCACGCTTACGTTAACATTTTCATTGAGGATGTTCTCGTGGAGTACGCTATGGTCACAGTGGATCCATTTTCGACCCAACTCCCGTTTGGGTGAACACGGCCGTTATGGCCGAGTATTTCAAAAACACTTTACAGCGCAGGAGCGGTGGTGCGTTTGACGCGACCATGCGCACCCGGCGCAACGTCTAAGACGATCGAAAACCTGAATTATTTGGCCAAACTGAGACATTCAGCATGGTTATGGACATATTTGTTTAATTTATGAAAAAAAACAAGCTCCGTGGAAAGGTTTGGTTTCAATTCTTAGAAATTATGGTAGGACATTCCGAAAGAAAAGTATGAGATTTAAAGTTGTTGGTAAGTCACAAAATGCTATTTCGGGAAAAGGTGGCTTGAAAATCTAGAATTAAACCTGAGATCTCTACGGTAGAAATGGACGCAACGCTCTAAATTATATAGAGGCCCAAATTGACGTCGCGCTGTATAGTCTCATGTGCCCCCGATTATCTTGCACACATACTGGAGATAAAACATTTTCTGTGCTTAACACAATTTACTGGCTTAACACAATTTTAACTATTCACCCCTTAATCATGTGGTTATAAAAGTTATAAAAAAACTCTGTTGTATTTTCATTTGTCGAGGGCACAACTATTTTTTGACCTACACGTCTAAGTTTGACGTCTTTTAGATTGTTAAGACTTACAAGATGCAATTACTGTGTAAATGTATGACGTAAATGTAATGTTCTTACTACTTGTTTGAAGATTCCACAATCGATATTATAAATAAATACAATTTTAAGTACTAACCACTGAATCATGTGGTTATAAAAGTTATAAACAATCAAACTAGTGTATTTTCATTTGTCAAGGGCACCTACATTTCTAACTTAGACGTCTTTTAGATTGTTAAGACTTCCAAAATGCAATTACTGTGTAAATGTACGATGTAAATGTAATGTTCTATCTACTTGTTTGAAGTTTCCAGAATCGATATTATAAATAAATACTTGATTTTGCAACAGAAAGTGTTTTGCCCTTGGAAGGAGGTGTTCGGCAACAGTGTGCGCGTTGGCGCGCGTATACGCATTCCTGGGGAGCGATAGCACGGAGCGCTTAGACGACACCGACGTCGCTCCGGCGTCTCTCAGGGACGTAGCGTTTGGCAGGGCGACTTCGCGACCATCCCATGGTAAATTCTAGCAATTGCTAAACATTCGAAATGGTACCAAACGCTGAAAAAAATAGTAATCATATGTTTGACGGCCGGCGCAGTATATTTTTTGATCGTTTTCAATCTGCGAAGAAATGTAAAATCGAAATCACTAACGAAGTGCGAAATGGTCGTGAATCTGCGAAATGATTGCTATATTGCATTTTATGGTTTCCTTCGTGTTCGCTCTCTGACTAGAGATGTGACAACACAGATGTTTGAAAGCGTTTAACTTGAGAGTAGCCGAGTTTATTCATGTATAATTAAGATTTAACGGACTAAACAAAGTAAGAAAATAATAAGAGCTATTAAAGAAACTGATCCTGAATGCTTCAGTGTTCAGGATCATCTCAAGGGGTCTCAGCTGCCACAATTCGCTGTTCGGAGGTCCAGGGAAGAAGAGAAAGGCTCTATGCCTACGGCGCAAGCGTTACATCCTACGCTTTTACATATGTTGAAGTTCACAAATCGCGAAATATTAAATTAGTTCCCCTGATTTCCTGATTTTAATGGGGAAATCTAAAAAGCGTCAACACAATCTAAATTTTGTATAATGCCATGAAATGCTGTAGAAATGCGATTTTCTAAAATTTAAATTGCTAAAATCTACCATCACTACCCATGACCTTTCTTTAACTACCTGATGGCTCGACATCAAAAGGATTAAACAAAAAAATCAAATGCTGATAGAATCATGATCATCTCAATCATATACATCTCGATATCCTTTCTGAATTTGTGTGAACTTTGAAATGAGAGATACATATTCCGAATTTAGTATTTTTTTATTTATGTTCTTTTAAGGTAATAAGTAAAAATTAAAATAAATAATAGAGAATATTTTTATGTGCTCATCTATTTCTTTAATCTTTTACCACAGAAATCTTAAAACAAGATAAATTCCTTAAATAAATACAGATACTAATGAAAATACGACGTAAACGTGATTATGCGAAAGTAAAAGTTTGATAGATTCGAATTAAAACGTATTAAATTTCAGAGTTGTTCCTACGATTAGTATTTCCCTTAGCATTTCTTTCCGTCAGCCTCTGATGATGTATTGGGAGATTCATGATAATTCTGCATTACATTTGAATTAATTAACAATTACAACCACACAACAACCAATTATGGACACCATGTCACATAATTTCAATGCCTTCATGGGTATCGTTTATGTGTACATTATAAATTAATGTGTCGTTGTTCATGTGTCTTTCAATATGGACCTTATTTGAACTCCAAGCATAATCCCGAATTAGGGTGTTTGTATCATGCGGTATCATGTTCTGAATAGAAATTAAATCGACAATACACAATTTGTATTATTTTGATCTTTTATTCTTGGCCTTCCGTTTATCGACCGATAGATTCATATATTAACAAAATTAAAGTTAAAAATGTACAACATATTGTTTATTTAGTCGCAATTCTTCTAATAAATTACACTTCTGTAACGTTTGCAACTGGAACGTCCTAATGCAGTATTGTGTAATATGGCAGAAGAATTATAAACAAAATATTTAAATATTTTAGTAGAAAATAATTATTGTTTTAGCCTAAAGATGGGTAAAAATATGTACCCGAAACATTGCAGTAATTTAATTATCAGAACAATTGTGAATAAGTAAATAGTATATTGTAAAATTGTGACTTAAAATTTTTAATAAAAAACCTGTCTATGAAGAGAAAGCCAAGAATAAAAAGTGTAAAACAAGATTAATGACAGGCAAAAATTAAATATTGAATGCAAGCAATTGATGTTAGTTAAAAGAGAGACTTAAGTTCAAATTTCCTTCATAAATGAAAAATGTTCTACAATTGTGTTATAAACGTATAATGCACAAAGATTACAATAATTTCTCAACATTGGCGAGAAAAAATGAATAAACATCCCTAAAAACATCGTGGATATTAAATCTGCAAAATATTTTCATCTCGATAAAATTATGGATTTGGAGAGAGAAGATTTCACAACGTAAGTCAAACGAGAACTTCAGTATGTGGAAACCGTATGAAGCGACATTGAATGATGAAAAGTCTCCGCTGCTTGGTCGACTCCGATGGAGGAAAACCTAACTTGCTTACGGCATTTGCAAAACAAATAGATTTGCACCTGCTGCTGCGCACCGGACTAGATGAAGACCGGTTTATTACGAAGGCGCATTTGCGTGTGCAGACATTCGGTTTAGAAGTGGGGCAAGTCCACTCTTACATTTCTCAGATGTCAGTGAATTGTGTAACGTAAGGGAGAAGACTCGCTGAACTGGTAGAGTGTGGTTACATTGCCACTTTCAGAGAGTAGTAAGCAGAACTAAACCCCGCGTCATTAGATAAATTTTGCACACCACGAAACTTGACAGCTAACCCGATAATAGCCAGGTGACCAATAAACGTTCCACTAGCGGAGGAAGTTTTAAGGACGTTTTCGTTGAGTTAACAATATTTATTCCACGAAAACTCGTTGCTTATGACCACGTTAATGCCACCCGTGCAATTAAAGCTCCAAAAACTTAAAGGTATTTCGAGTCGGCCTTGAAACATTAACAAAAATGTACATCACTGATTACGTTCCTACATCAACTACATATAAATCTTGAATGAATAATACAAAATGTTAAAGTAATCGTCAGTTTAATTAATAGAACAACATAAAATATTTCACATAAATAAATTAATAGCTTTACTTGTAACACAACTTGATGCGACGTAACGTATAATGTCAGAAATTGCGGATAAATTTGGCGTATTAAAATAAGATATAGAAATTGACGAGATTTTAAATAGGGCACGTTAATAATCAAATTAAATTATGATCATGTAGTGGCATTTTTAATATCGCACTAACGAAACACAGTACATTTCAGTTTTTAACATCTGCTGAAACAAGCAAAATTAAACATGGTTATATTCTGCGATGTGCTCTTTACTACTGAAGAAACTATTTTAGATGTTAATTAGTGATGCTGCAGATTGGCACAGACTTTTCCGTATTAGTTTTCTATTTCCTTTGGTCTCGGCTCGCTATTTGGACTTGCCACATACTCTTGCTAGCTGCCATTTTTTCACCGTCCAGAGTACATTGTTTTGATATTTTCTTAATATTTTGGTATCCTAATAGTAAAACGAAAATATTATTTTAAGAATATTGATGAACAGTAAAATCTCGTCCTAAACGGCAATATTCTTTGAAAAAGTTGGAGCCAGTTTTAAGAAAATGCGCTACAGTAAATTCGATATTTGCAGCCCTTTTTCACAGAAAAGTTTTGAGTTTTAGAAATACTTCATTTGTAGTGGTTTGAAGCACTTTTACTCACAAATGCAATAGTGTTTACAAATTGCTGTATGTGTGCATATTATGTATATAAATGTGCATACCAGCGTGAGAGATGTTTCAAAAAATTACATTTGTGTAGTTTTTGAAAAAACAAAAAAATACTTCAAAAGGAGCTTTACATCATATTAAATAATGCAATTAGCACTAATCGATCGAAATGTTTGAAAAAAATGGAGCCGTCTTTGAGAAAATGGCATTCGAGTGATTCTGAAAATGCGGAATTTTGAGCTACTTTACACAGAAAACCGTAGCGTTTTCGAGAAACTTTTTATGACGTTTAAAGTACACGTACTCATACATATGTGAACAAATTGCCGCTAATGTAAATATTAATGACGTGAGAGACAAGTTAAAAATTTACATTTTTGTAGTTTTGGGGAAAAAACGAAAGGAAAGAGCAATATGTCGTATATGTCGTCTTATAGAGTGTATTTAGCAGCATCCTTACTAAAAGTTTAAAGAAAAAATTTGGAACTGTTTTTGAGAAAACCTTGTTTTTGTTATTTTTTAAAATTGCACATGTTGCACGCAGTATTGCATGAAAGCTCAAACTTTCAAAAAAAAAAGTTTATGATCTTAATGAAAGAACAGTCTAAGAAAACAAATGTTATTTGAAGGAAAAAATCTCTATCTTCAATTTTGTAGTTGTAGGAAGACGACAAAACTCCAAACTTTTGCAGTTTTCGAAAATTCAGAGTTAACAGTAACCTATTTGACCTATTCCAGATTTAAAGGTGTATTGTACTCTGATCTTACAAGAAATTTAAAGAAAAAAGTTTGAGCAATTTTTGAGAAAATTTCGAAAATGTCCGGAGGAGCTTCATACAAAGTGCCCCAAAGTTTTAAAGAATGTTTTTCAAAATCTCAAAGCTTTGACTCTAGCCAGATGGACTGGTGTTTTTCAATTTGGAAAAATCCTACTTATGCTTTAGCTGGTAATGGAGTTCACAGACGGACAGACCATTGGTTTTCCGATATCAAGAACCCACAAAACGGGGATTTTGGCTACACCACAAGTTAGAGGATTTTTTTCTTAATTTAGCAACTGGATTTATCCACTTTTTCATTACCAGGGCCCGGTAATTATTTTTTGTGATGTGTTTATATGTTAATATCACATAATATCAATATATTTACGTAACTAGAAAGCAAGAAAAGCACACTTCAAAACTTCCCTTTTAATAAATATTATTTACATGCATAATTTTGTGATAAACACTCGCCTGCTGCGAGTTTATTTGAAGGTGTGATGAAAGCAAGCTTCGCGGGGTCTGAAATTCGATATTTATGGCCGGTCCCTTAACGTAAGTTGGATGACTTAATTTACACGCATACAAATTCTCTTCTCGTTTGGACAAGCTTTGTATCAATTCTTACAATATTATTTTTAGTGCCGATGTTGGAACAATGAAAATTATCCCTAACCTCCTACTGCACGTACTGAACTCACACTTTGATTCATTAACAGCTGACGCCCCAACCCTTATGTCTGGCGAAAGAATACATTTCGCTGAGTCATGTGGTCTTCGGCGATACTCAACTGTTTTAACCGATTGATTAGTGATTCCGGGCGCGTAATATAATTCGTTCCGTAAGTGTAGTGCATGCTTTTTCCTTGGAAGGTGGAACTGATGTTCCCCCGCTGGATAGTCCGGCACCGACCTACCTGACAGCTGGAGGGGTTTTCCTCAACCAGGTATCTCCCACCAGCAGGGGAGGTATGGGACGAGCTCTAAGCACCTAACCGGTCTCTCTCCTTGGGTAGTAGTGGAGTGCATGTAAGTATAAGTGTTAGTGTGTGTATGTAAGGGATGATTAGAAGACAAGGAAGAAGAAAGAAAAGATCGCGTGCAGTCCGTTTGTTTGGGTACGTCTCCGGCATTCGCCTGGTGTTGATCGGAAAACTACCGATCACAGCAGCCGGCCGCTAGAATCGTCCTTTAGACACCGATTGAATTCGACGTAGTTATACAGCTAGTGTCGAAAATTCGGCCAATGGCGAGACTCGAACATAGGATCCCCCAATTAGAGGCTCCGCAGTGACATCAGTTGATGCCCTGAGCCACATCTCCCAGCCAAATGTTTTGGGGCCTATCAAAAAATTGTCTGCTGAACTAAACGGACCATGTAAAAATCCTTTTGTAAAAATGGCTAAACATTCATACTAACCCAATACATCATTAGTTGTTCTTCAGTTTTGAAGAGTTTTCCGAAAAAGCGCCATGAACTCATATTTTTGTAGGAAACGATCCATTAATGTATGTCAAGTACTAAAACAAACCTATTTTGGGGTATTATTAAGTCTGAATCGTTTTATTACTCGCAGCCAAAAAAGTACATTTACTTTTAAGATAATTAATGTTTTAAACGAAGCATATTTAATGGTAGATTTATGTAAGCAATGCAATACTTTTTCTGGTATTGAATATTTGTCTTACTGAATAAACGCTTGACTTAATTTACGGAAAACTTGAAATTCTCGAATAGGAATGATAACATTCGTTGGGATTTGCTATAAATAAACATTAGAGAACAGTTTATATCCAAAGAAACCAATATGAATGAGACACTTCCATCTTTCAGGAAGAATGCTAGTAGTACGTACGAACAAACACAGAGCGGCAGCACATTCTCTATCAACTGCTTCTCTCTCGGACAATGCATAATGGTTTTATCTACATTATTAACCTGATTTCCCTCCATTACACATCCGGTTATTTTTGAAGTGACAACACTTCAAGCGTGGAAAGAGGCGAGGCAAACATCCTTGGTGACGGTCTGAGATGAGCACAAATATTCAGGTAGAGGGCGTCTAATATGGTACTCTCCTCATTTATCTTTTAATTATTTTTTAATGATTTCTCACGTATTAGGGAATGGAACTCTTATTTTAAGCACGAGAACACTGCACAGTTTTGTTGTAGTAATTTTTATAATTTAAATGGTATTGTACCAATTTTTGTTTACGTAAAAAAGAGGGTAAAAATGCAAATGAATACATCGTTGGCCACCAGAAAATTGGCATACCCCACAAACTGGTTTATTTTTTCGTAATTGTAATTCTGGACGGGAACTTTATTAGGTCCACGACAGTCATACTCGTTGTATATACCGCTTACCTTGCGTAAACCTCTTTATTGACCTGTTTTGTAGTAAACATAGTCTGCTTTTCACACTTTTTTTGTCACTTAATAAAAAATTTAAAAAATATTACTTTTTTGAGACTCAGTTTCCTGTGTATTGACAAGGTCAATTAACCGTCACGGTGAAGTCATTATTCGGCCATGTCTTTAAAATATAGTGTTTAACACGTGTCGACGCAGAATTTGAGCTACACAGACACTAAACTAACGCATATAGAATTAATATAGAAAAATAATTCCCTGTGACCTTGAGGTCATCACCAGTATAAGCATATTCTAGATACCGTCCTACGAATTGCCAAAACATAGCACTGAACTGAAGGGGAAAATGGATTTATTACTTATAAACGGCTTTCAAAGGCATTGCCGTCATCAGTCAACCAAGTAGGTGATGAGAGTGGACAGTTTTACTTCATCTGTCCATCTAATCAAGGTTTTTACTTGTTCGATAATATACTGTCTTCATGCCTTGATGTCCCAGACCGGCCTTGATTATTACGTACGACATAGTTTCGAGTGTAAGCCTTCCTTCCGCATTACAATTGCGCTGTTTGGGGATGTTATCGTATTGTTTAAGCCAACCAAACCCATAATTCCATGTGTACGACTTTCTAATTTACAACGGAAGCAATCATATACTGACTTGAAATGTCATTTTTTACATGTATTTTTTTCTTTTGGCAAAATGGAGCACAAATACTGCATGCATTAGAAAAACAAACTATAAGAACGAATGGATTATTATGATAGAATAATACTGAACTTTGCCTTTGAGTTAATATTTTAACATATGATCCACAATGTGTTCTCTTTACTTCCTTGCACAGGACTTCCATTGTTCGTTTATCTCGACTGAATCTTTTGCATTGTGTGTTACATCATTCTTAAGTACTCAAGAAAAATCCTTGTAAAAATATCTTCAACGACCTTCTGCAGTCTAAATGCTTCTAATGCTGTTTTTATTTGCAACTCTCACTTTATGTCTTGAGGTTACGGGCATGAAACAATGTTTTCGAGTTTCAGGTGCATCATGTGAGAAATTTCTTACTTTTACGTAAGGGTCATTAAAAATCACAAAGAAGACAACAATCGCCTTCTTGAGAATCAGGGCATTGGAATTCGAAAATGGTGTTGTATCTGTTAGCTTCTGGAGGAAAATTTTCTTTTCTTTTTTCGAAGTAGAAGATTACTTTGTACTCTGTATCTAGAAGAGAGAAAGTTAGTGTTAAAACGCAGAAAAATCGCGAAATTTTGTACGGAAAAAAATTCATGTCTCCAATATCAAAAAAATGTTTTTGTGTATCAACAGCATGGACAATCTTTTATGGCACCGAAAATAGTACATAATCAGGTGGATTGTGAAACTAGTCCAATAAAATAACATTCAGCCAATCGCAGCGAACGAATCATGGAAGGTGGCGGTAAACCGCATAGATGATAAAGTTGTTCCCAAAAAATGCTATTTTTACAAAAATATAGCGTTTGCAACCACTTAATGATTATTCTTTATTGAACTCGTACAAATTCGAAAGCTGTCTCTTCATATAGCTGAATGCACAGTTGAAGCAGCATTCTTCCGACGCCGTGTTTAACATTCAAGATCAGGTCCACTCCGCAGTGAACATCGGACTAAGATCAGCCTCAAAGCATTCCTGATTAGTCTTGTGGATTCTTGACCTTGATGTCATATCCGATAATATTGCGTTACGTATGCTCATAAAATTATTTCACGGACGTGGCAAAGATAAACTGTGTTGTAGTCACATTGTGGTTCGCTCTTCCGTGGATACTTTACCCACACCGTGCTGCAACAGGGCCGCACATACACGGCCAGTACTGCAAGGCCGACGTACTGATGAGCGCGACATCCAACAACCATGGTCATTGTCAATCATCATTTTCAATTTAACGGACTAAGAGAAATAAACGTACTACTTTGTCTTGAAAACGTGTTGGGTTTAATTCGGCGACCGCCAACAGACGCGAATCTTGGCTTCAACCGACTCGGCTCGATTTGTTTCTTCTGATGGCCTCGATTTGATCCAACCCGAAGCGACTCGAACCGACCCGAACTGATTCACTTGACCCGGCCAGATTCGATGGACTCGCCTCCATTAGATTCGATTATAATGTGCCCAATTCGTCTCGACTGTTATTCAATGAAAAGATATAGCCTGACTTGAACTATTTTTTTATTATTTATTGTCTTCCTGTTTATCACACAAGTTTTTCAGGGTTCTCAATAGAATCATATATAACTTTTGGTTTATTTCATGTGGGTACCCTGGACGGGTGCGATAAATGTTTTTGGTACGTTAATAATTTCAATTATTACGGAAGTATATCGAGAATCCAGAGAATGATCGTTGATGTGATTATTAGATGAAGATCATATGATTTGAGGTCGATTTTAAACTATTTTATGGTGGTCTGAATCTGTCTTTAGGCAAGCGAGAGTTGATGCGTAAGTTCGGTTCTGCTGTGCGTCCAAGGTTGAATCTGGAGATGCTGGGAGATGAGGGGAGTGATGTGAAGAAGTCTTCGAACAGTTTGATGATGTGTTCTTTTATTGTCGGAATTTGCAGCTCTTGGTGTATTTGGTTATCCGAAATGAACCATGGGGCTTTAATGATAGTTTTTTGCTCTTTATTGACTTCAGGTCCTGATTTCATTCGACTCGATTCGTGTGAACTAATTCAAAATTCTTAATTATAATTATGTTAATTATTTTTGCTTTACCCAAATGATCATAGAGTAATTCGACTGTGTAAAGAGTGATAACCTCCATCAATTTCACTACGACCAGTCCCATTCGTCCCAACACAACGCAACTCGATCCGATCAGACCCGAGTCACCAGACCTGACCGATTCACCTGGCGTGAGTCATTCGAACCGATTCAACCCGAATTATTCGACTCAACTAGACTGGACCCAATTGCGCTCGACCAGTCCCATTCGTTCCAACACGACGCAACTCGAACCGATCAGACCTGACAGATTCACCTGGCGTGAGTCATTCGACCCGATTGTACCCAAATGATGTACCCAATGTACCCAATTCGTTTCAACTGGAATGCACCTATTGCGCTCGACCAGTCTTGTCTCGATTCTCCTCCGTTAAACAAAAACGACTTGAACGCTACACCTGGTTTGATTCACTGCATTCGAATAAGCAATGTCCTTCGATTGTCTTGGATAACGGAGTTAAGCAAGAGTATAGTCAGGGTGGCCAATCATTTCCTGAAACAAATTTCCATGACTTTTCCCGGTTTTCCAGAGCCGTTTTTGAACAGTTTTTTTTGCTGATTTCTTGAGTATTTCACACTATATAAAGAAACTACGAGTAATTAAGCAAGCCCGAAACTAATTTCTCAGCTCTCTGGTTTCTCCGTGATAAAGTATAAATTAAAAAAACTCAACAAATTGAAATTCAGCAATAAACAATATGGTACTATTTTTTAGGAGTAATAACTTGTTATATATTCTTTCAAAAATTTCCCTCGCATCAAAAGATTATTCTACAAAATCCCTGATTTTTTTCTGACTTTTCTTGAGCAATCAAATTCCCTGATTGTTTCCTGACTTTTTCTGAGAGCAATCAAATTCCCTGATTGTTTCGTGACCTTTCCTGAGCAATCAAATTCCCTGATTGTTTCCTGGCATATCCTGACAGCAATCAAATTCCCTGATTGTTTTCTGACATTTCCTGAGAGCAATAAAATTCCCTGATTGTTTCGTGACTTTTCCTGAGCAATCAAATTCCCTGATTGTTTCCTGACTTTTCCTGAGCAAATGAAATTCCCCGATTTTTTTTTCCCAATTCCCCCGGTTTCCCAGATTCACCCAGTGATAGTGTCGACCCCGTGTCCACTTACCGCGTGCGCCGTGACGGCAATGGTCTCCGGGGTGGGTGCGGGGGCGGCGGCGGCGGGCGCCGAGGCGTTGTCGGCGCTAGCATTGTACTTCTTGCCGATGGCGCGGCCGGCCCTGCCGGGCGCCTCCACGCTGGACACGCCGGCCGGCAGCAGGCGCAGCGACACCTCGTCCCACGACACGTTCAGCTCCCGCGCGTGCAGCGACACGCTCGCGCACGCCTCGCCCGCCGACTCGCAGAACACCTCCACGTCCACCAAGCCCTGCACGGGAGGCCAGTTAGACTACACAGCCTTTGCACGATAATAACAAGAACAACAATAATAATAATAATAATAAATAATAATAATAGTGACAATAATGATAATAATAATAATAATAATAATCATGCCATCTAATGTCGAGAGGCACTATGGCAGTAGACAGACGACCGGCCTCGGAACTCTTGAACAAATGATCGCGAGTTCGAGTCCCGTCGTCGCCATGGTGTGTGTTGGTGTCTCGTGTATGTATGTGTGTGTCTAGTTTCATCATCAGTCATTATTCATCAATAACATCATATCCGCCACCGTCAAAAAAAAGTGATCGGATTTAAAATGCAGATTCCCCCTATAGAAAAATAACGTGCACCAACCCCGATTATCACGTCTGAGTCCCGTTGAGATGGATGAATTGGGTGGTCCCATGATGGCTGATTCGCGAAACAATAAATAATAATAATATTAATAATAATAATAATAATAATAATAATAATAATAATAATAATGAATGTATATACTACGAAAACTCTAAGGGATTTCATTTAGAAACAAATTTGAGCCTGAGTCTCCACATGTTATTGCTTGCTGTTGTTAACCAGATTTATAGTACCAACACTAAATGTTAATAGTATAACAAAATTAATTTAATTAACGCTTTATCATTTTTTCACTACGTCCTTTTCAAGACTATTGCAGGTTGCAATTAATCTCATTACACTTGTAAGTTACACGTGTCCCTTCACAGATGGCAGCATTTCGAAACAAAAGCGAAGCTTGAACACACGATAATAAAGTTCCTTGGATTCCAAGGGTTTGCAGTTTCATTTGTATCGAGGCAAGCCTTGCTGCGTTGTACGAGAGAAAAATAGCCCATCAGGTGGAAACTTACTCCAACGTTGAAGTAGCAAGACTTTTTTGCGGGCAAAACGTTTCTCAAGTACTGCGATTCATCGTGAAATATCGGCAATTTATGGGCCACTTCCATTGCCACGTCCAGCCATTGTGTAATAGTGTCATCAGTTGGAAGGACGCATGGCCGATGTGGAAAGGCAATGGAAGGTCACCAACGGTGAGCACATCAGATTTGATGCAGCGGGTGGAAGACATTGTTCTCCGCAATCGCAATGTTGCACACATTGCACACGAGTTGGGAATATCTGTCGGCAATGCTCATTCTATCGTCCGCCTCCGACTGGATTATCGCGATGTGTGTTCAAGATTCATTAAGTTCCGTACACATAGGAGCAAGCTTTGCGGCTTCACTGCAATTTCTTCAACGTTATTCTGCCGATGATTTCTACAATCGCATCATTACAGGTGATGTGGGTGCATCACTTCATCCAAGAAACGAAGCAATCGTCGATGGGATGGGACGCGTCATTGCCTGTAAGAAGAAATTCCAAAGTTCCCCCATCACTGGGTAAAGTCGTGGCTATTGTTTTGGTTTTTTTCGATTGCAAAGTTGTCTACACCGAATTTATGCGGAAGGACACGACCATTACAGCTGTGTAGTACTGCGAAACACTCAGAGCTAAAGTACAGCTGTGAAAAACAAGAGATTATGAAAGTTATGCAAAGGCATTGCCCTCTTGCCCGATTATGCACGTTCTCATGAGGTACAAACAAACAGGATTTGCGTCGCAGTGTTGGATGGGAAGTCTGGCAGCATCTATCGTATAGTCGCGAACTTGCAACTTTTACATGACTTTTGCATGCTCAATGAACATTTAGGTGGGAGATAATTTTGTAACAGTGACCCGGTTCAGACAGTTGTACTTAGCGGGCTCCAGGACCACGGGGCGATTTTCTATCGCCAGCGTATTGAACGATTAGTGCAACGTTCAGACAAATGGAGCGACTGAAACATACTGTAGAGAAATAGTGTTCTGTATGTGTCATATTGTATTGCAGCACGCTTACCAACAAAGTATTGTTTGACCTAAATTATCCGAGTGTCACGTACTTTTTAATTTGCCCGTGTATGTATTACTTTCCTTTTTACACTTTTCTACTGCTCGTTTTGTGCGATGGATCGTTCGGCTTCGGCTAGTTATAATAATAATAATAATAATAATAATAATAATAATAATAATAATAATGTGTATTAGTAGCGATGCTCAGGCGTCAGAGCCTTCTCTTCGTGATTAATATATATTTATATACTTACACGATTAGAAATATTTAAGAGTGCGACAAACTGTACTTTTATGACAGGGAGAGTAAAGAAAGGAAAGGATCATCAGGAACACGCTTCAAGCGATCCAGTAAACCCAGAAAGGAAAAACAATCAGGAGGGGGTCTTAGGGCCAAACATCAATAGTGTAGAAGTGGAAAATAGTTCGTTGAAGTGAAATAAAAGAAAAGAAATACTCAGGAGAAGAATGCATAAACGAAGAAGCATGGAAAAAACCTGAAGGAGAAAGGATAGGGAAAACAGTTGAAAAAATGATACAAAGAAAGGCGAATAGGAAATACTAAAATTAATAAATTGACAGTACTTCATGATATTCTACGTTTCAGTTCGAGACACTGGAAACTACTGGCCTTACAGCTTTTCTGGTTCTTCTTTTCATGTATCCTTCCCGACACCTCACTACGTCTCCTAAGCTGTAAGTACAGTGAGCTGTCATCCTTCCTTTACTTTAATCCATTCAACTTGCGATCGGATCAGGACCCGCCACCCTGAACGTTTGGAGCCAGACGTTCGGTCCATGCCCATTTTTATTTTCATATTTGAAGAGAGCTCCGCAGTTCTCGTAGGGGTATCTCGACTGAGCTAGTGGTCTGTTATGGGTTAGGTATCCCAACGAAGGAAGGATGAGAGTTAAGGGTACATGATCACTCAGAGCATGATGAGAAGACACTTTCAGTTTAGCCAAACACTTATGCTTAAAGAAGTACAAGTTAAAGTTATATTTCTCTTCAGTGCCGGACTTCAAGAAACAGTCACTAGGTAATCAACAGATTGGGACCCCAACTTGTAGTAATTGAATAAAAGTAATAATAAGGTAATATTAATACTTAACATAAGTATTGTTAGATACTTTTATTTTATAATATCCACTTATTTATAACTAATATTCCTGTAATCTAAATATATTAAAATTTGAATGTAATAAATGTACAAAAACTGTATAACTAGTAAAAATAGCTTTCCCATATTTAAAAACTAAAAAAATGTTTAAAATTTTACTGGAACTATTTTATTCTATTTTATTACTCATACGAGGGGCCCTCTGAAGTGGATTCCTAGGCAGCTGCCTAGTTTACCTAGGGTTCGCCCTTGTTTCTATTATGTGTAATAACAAAAATTGATTTCTTGCTCACATTAGTATGTTCACCGGACATAGAGACTGACGTAAATGAATTTTTAAAGCTGATATTTATAACATGATTGGCGGTACTCACTAAAACTACTTAATTTTAAACTTATTAACTACTCGAATGACTTTATTTCAAATGGAGATATCCCTTTTTCAGCCTAAATATTATCGGGTTTCATAAAAAATTGGTATCGTTTCAAAAACAGGTCTCCGTGGGATTTATGGCTGAAATGGTTACCAACCACCGGATTTACTAATATTAACGTTAAATAATAATAATAAACTATCACCACCCTGTCACCTTGTTTGAGAGGCAGTGATCATCTCTGTGACTGATCATAAACCAGAAGATACTGGTTCGATTACCGGTCGGGGGTGACTACTGCTTTAAACAATTTAAATTAAACTAAAAGTAATAATGAACATTCGATTACAATTGCAACGCGCGTAGCCAGCGCCCGGCAGCCTTGTGGGACGGGGAGTGACCGTACCTTGAAGGTGAAGTTGTTGGAGGCCGGGTCCCCGATGAAGGGCTGCAGCCAGATGCTGTAGTAGCGCGGCCGCACCTCCTTGGGCAGGCGCAGGTTGACCGGCGCGCCCTTCGAGGGCGTGGTCTCGGTGGAGGCGTCCCCACCGCCCGGGCCCTCGGGGAGGACGGAGGACGCGGTGTCCCCGCCCTCGGCCGGACCGCCCGTGGCCTGCGCGGCCGTGCCATTGGCTGCGGACGCACCCTGAGGACAGCCACAGCAAAAATGAATTGTCAGTCTTTTTGTATAGAAACCACTGAAAAATATTAACCATTGTTGCGCCGACCTGAATGGCCGAGGTGGCTAAAAACGTGTACCGACTCAGCGGTTCGGTCCTAAGGGTCGTGGGTTCGAGTCCCGCCTCGGGAATTGTTGTTTGCCCCCTTGTCCCCTAGGGCCTCGCGTTCTGCTGACTCCAGATCCGAGGAGCCCGCAAGTGTGCTGGTGTCTAGTGTGTGGTCGAATATGCGTCCCATCGGAAAGAAAAGAATAACCGGCTGTCAGCCGGATAAAAACTCTAAAAAACAACATTGTTGCATTCTTCAGGTGTGTCATGGTCAGCGTGCTAAAGGATCCCGAGGTCGATTTCTGAACGGGGCATAAATGAAGCTGCACTATTCTAATAGAGATTGTTTCAGTTTCTACAGCTGTGTGACGAAAGAAAAGGTTTAAGCAGGCCAAGTCATCTATACACGGTAATGTGAATACGTCATACTTGCGATATGTAGATAAAAAATAAAAACAGGGCCTAAGCACAGCGTTAGCTAGCAAAAAGTCGGATTAATTCGATTGTAAATACCAAATACATACACACATATTGTAAACATTGTTGCTCGTGATCCTGCCGCATTGATTCATCGTTTACCAGCGACGCACGCAAGATTTTCTCGGGGACGGGCACATGAGTAGAATACTGTCGTCTTGATCTGTTCTTACAAAGAATTCTCTCGACTGAACACAACTATTTTCGAGCATAGTTTCTTGACAGTCGAACTAAAAGAGAGTGGCAGATTACTGGATTTTGATTGGTAAGTAGTATAATAAATAGGCTTCTGTATTAAGAATTAAAATGAAAACTAAAAGAAAAAACATTCCAGTTCATATCTTTCCAGTCACTTTTAGTAGGCCTATATTTATTGTTTTAATTCAATGTTTTTATTATGGTCCTGTAGATACTTTTCTTATATTTTGACAAAGTCCAAAAACAGTAATTTCGTCAAAAATGACTGTATCTTTAATTGTAATATTTTATTTCGAATACCAGTATCTCAAGGAGTAGTAATAATAATTATGCATGAATCATATCTCCATTATCACATTAAACGACAGGTCATAACTAAAATTCAGCGGGTCAGGTCTGGTTAGTAAAGAATGGCTGAACTTGACAAGCATAATGTCTAAGAACTCTATTGTATTGTGGGTCTTTCGCGTCACTGTCTATAACACTTCCTCGTATAATTAATTGCTTTTCAACCTTTTTGTTCCTTGTATAAATAGAACGTGTTAGCCTGAAGTGCATATTTTCACAATCTTTTAATTATCGAGAAAGCAATTTTTAAGAATGTATCTGACAGTATCTAGTGAATGGAACAGAAACATTTCCATCAGTATCAATTTGGATCAAATTTACGTCACAATGAAATTCAGAACTTCGTGCTATTGACGGCATGTTTCTTTTAGGATTTTATACATTAATAGACTTTATAAAAAGAAGAAAAAAATCCTTCTTTTACACATGTGCTCAATTTAAACTTTATTGTTAAATGCGAAATTATTCTTTATCATTTTATAAGAGCAGTAAAACTTACAGTAACCCTGAGTTAAGAGTTGAATAATTGAATGAAAGTGACTAAATTGAAAGAAAAACTACTAAAATATTAACTCATACATTACCATCTATGACACACTGGAATTACATATTGTTTTAAAATGTTCACTTCAACATTGTAAATTAATATAAATCATTTTTATTCCCATCTTGAACATACGTAAAGAAACTATTATAAATTGCCTGGTTACGTGTTTCATTTATAAGAAGAGAAGCAGAATATCAGTTTTATTTCTTCTTCATCTGCATCCTTTATTAAGACAATCTCACATCTATTAAGTTAAATATACAGCGAAATAATATTTAATTGCCTGAGACACAACGATATAAAACTGGAAACAAAGCAAACACTGAATAAATATATTGAATGCATTGTTTTAAAATACAATTATTAAGAATTTTTATTGCTTTTTCCAAAATATGTTGAAGAAAAAATTGAGAATATAACTTTTCAGTATTTACAAAAATTTTGTTTTTATAGTAGGCATTGAATGTGTAGGTTCCGGAGCTATTTTAAAAACTGTTCTGTCAGACCCAAAACAAGATAATAACTCTTTCCACAGCGTTGTTAAGCAAATAGGGTGTCAAAATGCAGCATACGTACGTAAGCATGGGGGTACAATAATTATCAGAACAAAGATCAGTCCAAACCGTCAACACTTACACACGTCTTACTTCCTTCTACAAGGAATCTCTAAACGTTACTCCTCAAAAACGAATACTATGTAGGTGAGTATAAACTATTTTCCTTCCTCTCCGAACACTCTCATATCTCTGAAGTATTAATTGAGAATTCCTGAGAGGATTTTAATGAAAGTGAAATATACAGAACTTCAAATGAAATAAACTGCTGGTTTTATCTAATTTCCATCCTAATTTTTCATATTTTACGTTTCTACTACAATTCCAACAACTTCAAAATCATCAGGATACTTTCGAATTCTCAAGACGAGACTCCAGGTTTAGATCTGTATATTTCATAATACATAGATAGTGATCGTGTTTTTGTCAGTCTGTAGGTACCTCAAATGTAGAAAGTCAGTCATATACTTCCTCATTCTATATGTTTTCGAATATTTTATTTGGTTTCATCTATGGAAACCCAATACGGTCTCTTTAAAGAACACATCACATCCATGTGGTCATTCGGTTTTGCCATTTTTAACGCAGGAACTTTTGACACTTTGATAGATTCCTTGGCTCTGCCCCCTCCTGTTCCACAAATTTTGGGCTAAATAATGGCAAACTAAATCTGTGTCATAGTTATATTATTATAATACACATGAAATTATTTACGATAACATCAGCGAAAATAATTGATACTAAGATAATTATTAATTTCAGTCACAATTTATCTTGTAATTATTATTAGACTGTTTTATACGATCATTTTTCCATCATTTTTCGCCGATACAGAAAAGATACTGACCAGAATGAATGTAATTTGTACGAAAAAATCACGCTTGCTTAATTTTTCGGTAGAGATTTCATCCAGTTTGACTATCGTGCTCCTGGCGGCACTTTAAGGGACTTTCTCTGGTTTGTTATGCGTGTGGAGAGATATGTTTATTTCGTAATTGCGTGAGAGCGTTCTGATGTGTTGAATTGTAATTTAAAGTGGTTATGTAGTGAGAAATAAATTATGTACTGAATTATAATATTGTCGCATCCGTGCTCGGTCCTAATATAACCTAATTAAATTTGTTACCACAGATGCGATGTTCAAATGTTTGAACTTCAGCGCTATATGCGGCGTCCGGAAGAAGTATTTTCTTCATGATTACGTACAAAGACGGAAATGACCGTGTAAAACACTCATCCAGTTTCGGCCCCGAAACATACTGCGTAGAAACGAACGTCCTTTTTCCATCCATTTACTGTACAGAAAAATGATGAAAAAAGGATGCAAAAATAACCGAGTAAAACAGGCTTTAGAACAATATGAAGATTTTATTTTATTGACGGAGGTAATCAAAACAGTTACATATTGCACCTCAAATAAAATCTAATCAGCGCGCAACTAAGAAGAAAACGAGTAGCAAGGAACAAGTCACGCGTGCGATAGGATTTGCGGAATGTGAGTTTCCTTCTGACTTATACTTCCTCTGTGCTTCAGCGTTAAAGACATCGTAACCTGTTATGCACAATGGATGGATCCTCTAGTGAAACCGTCTTTTTCAATATTAATAAATGCGTATAACGAAAGAGTACAATTTCGATTTATTTAGAACTCTGGATATCTGACATAATTTGTATCAGATATTTTATCAAATATCAGCTCCCATTCATATCCATATCCATTTCAAATCTTTCTCTCTAGAGAAATGTGACGAACGACATAAGGAGACAAATATGAGTGTATGGAGGCGGTTCCTGCACATCCTAGTTTATTAGGTCAATGAGGTCCTCTGTGTTAGACTGAATGTGAAGTTGCATTCCCCTGGAGAAAGGAAATTATTTTTATCAGCACTTCTGGCCGAATGTCATTTATCGCTTTTGGGTTTCCATTTTCATCGGATCACACGCCTAATCATGTGATCTATTATTGATGTGCTTTGGACTCATAGACAGAAAACAAACATAGAAAACGTCTACGCTGCCGTTTTGAGAACATTTCTCGCTATTTACGGACTGTCTGTCTTCAAATTGTGAAAGCCAATGGGACCCATTTTTTTCAAAATCGATTCAAGAACGAATTTTAAGCTTGAACGACACGGCATTAAGACTTTTAAATTTTCAACAGGTGTTTTAATTATTTATGAACATACTTTGAACAACTCCCCCAAGATATGTGTTAATATTAAATATCAGATATTAATGTAGCGTAACCAATGAAACTTTGTTCAAACAATAGCTTAGTAAAATATTGAGATCAATGATCTTTCCCATTAGGATTCTCGTAATAAGAGCAACTTACTTTTTCATTCGCCTTCGTATAAAACAATAAGAATTAAATGTTGGGAAGACCCCCAAGAATTTATGAAGGAATTAGCGAGAGATTTATGACAGACCTATGTATTTATTTTCGGGCTTTCAACTATTAAAGTCACGAGTAAATAAGAATAATGATGATGAAAGGTGAATAATATTTAAAGAAATAATGGAATGAAACGCATGAGAAACGAGTTATCCCAGAGTGAACCTACCGAGAACTCATTTTGTCCACCACAAACTCCACATGAATCTCCGAAATCCAATCTGGAGCCGCAGCGATGTAAACAGTTCGCGTTAGTCATTATTCCACGAGCGTTTAGCGCATTAGACCCCCGAGGACATATCCGCCAGGGCAAATGCCTCCTACGTACATGCCCTCCTCCAGTAACATGTCCCCCAGAGTACCTCCTCCTCAGGGCACTTGTTCCCCAGGATACATGACCCCCGGCCCATATCGCAAAAGGCATATGATCCCTCTCCCCCCGGATCATTCCACCACAAGGGCACGTGCCACATGCGCCACTAGGATAGCATGGACCTGAATCTGAGGTCCCAGCGATGGAAACAGTTTGCGGTAGCCATTACGCCACCAGCCTCCCGGGCATGAGATCCCCGATAACTCATGCTACCTCACGGCACCTTCCCCAGTGCGCATGTCCTCCTGGCATATGCCTCCCCGGAACATGCCTCTCTGGCACATGCCTCCCGAGCGCACTTGCCCTCCATGGCACATGTCCCCCAAAGGCACAGGTCTCTCTTAGGGCACCTGCCTAACCCCAGTGCGCATGCCCTTTGCGGCACATGCCTCCCTGGCACATGCCTCCCGAGCGCACTTACCCTCCATGTCACATGTCCCCGAAAGGCACAGGCCTCTCTAGGGCACCTACCTCACCCCAGTGTGCATGCCCCCCCAGGGGGCGAACCATATGTGCTACTAGTTTAAACACCTCAAGTAACAAACCACCTGCTCCCCAGGGCATTTGTCGCCCCAGATCACATACCCCCAGTGCGCATGCCCCCTGGCACATGCCTCTAAAGCGCACGTGCCCTCCACGGCACATGTCTCTCAAAGGCACATGCCTCTCTGGCACATGTCTCCCAAGCGCACTTACCCTCCATGGCACATGTCCCCGAAAGGCACAGGCCTCTCTAGGGCACCTGCCTCACCCCAGTGTGCATGCCCCCCCCCCAGGGGGCGAATCATATGTTCTACTAGTTTAAAACCCCCAAGTGACAAACCACCTGCTCCCCAGGGCATTTGTCGCCCCAGATCACATACCCCCAGTGCGCATGCCCCCTGGCACATGCCTCTAAAGCGCACGTGCCCTCCATGGCACATGTCTCTGTGGCACATGTCTCCCGAGCGCACTTGCCCTCCATGGCACATGTCCCCCAAAGGCACAGGCCTCTCTTAGGGCACCTGCCTCACCCTAGTGTGCATGCCCCCCCCAGGGGGCGAACCATATGTGCTACTAATTTAAACACCCCAAGTGACATGCCACCTGCTCCCCCAGGGCATTTGTCCCCAGTGCGCATTCCCCTTAGCACATGCCTCTAAAGCGCACGTGCCCGCCGTGGCACATGTTCCTCAAAGGCACATGCCTTGCATGCGCACATGCCCTCCATGACACATGTTCCTCATAGGCTCAGGCCTTCCTGAGGGCACGTGCCTCCCCCGGCGCGCGTGCCCCTCCACGGGCACGAACCGCTAGGTTGCCTCGTGCCCGAACTCACCTGTCCTCCGTGGGGGCAGGGCGCCAGGTAGAAGACGAGCAGGCCAACGAGGACGAGGGCGGCGGCCACGAGCAGCGCGCACATGATGCCGCGCCGCGTGGACACGAAGCAGCCGCCCGACCGCCCGTACTGGATGTCGCCGCCCAGCGTGTCGCCCGCCAGGAACTCTGTGCGCGAGCCCGACAGCGCCATCCTCATCGGGGAGCCGGCGACGTCTGCAACACGACAGCTCTCGTCGGACTCTCGCCCGCGCGACGCGACGCGACGCGAGCCCGCCTCCACTGCCCTCTGGCGGCCGCAGGCGTAAGCTCCCGGCAGCTCTCTCTTCGTTCGGCATGCGAGATGGAATGAACCCGAAAATTGGTGGCAGAGTTTCACTTCGGGGTTGAATTAGAAGTTGGGTTCGGGTGGGTGAGGACCTGCGGATTCAAGATGTACTCGGATGGTGATGGGTTCGGATCGTGTTGAGGTGGGACATGGATGTTTGGACTTCGTCTCTGGGTCACACGGCTGGCCCTTTACAGCAAACACTTACTATCCAACTGTTCAACGGTGGAAATGTTATGCCACAGAGATCCTGGTCGATGTATTTTGATTGAATCTATTATATATGTTATGTTGAGTCGAAAAGACAGAATCCCAAGACGAATAGGACATATAAGTTCACTCGAGTGCCCTATCCATTCGAATTCCCAGTCCACAAACATTACATGAGTTTCCCACATTAGTCTAAACGCACATCTTTATTTAAAAGGAAAATCGTTGACAGGTGTCGTCTACCGATTCAACAAAATTATGTTGTAAGAAAAACATAAAATAAAATATTCTCCGTTTCCGTGGAAAATGTATTTAAGGGACCAATCTATTCCGAGTATTTCTCTGGGTGAAAATGTGGGTGTTATGTATCGGTTAGAATTTCTTGGTGTTGAGTTGTGGCATCGTTCAAATACAAAATATGAAAAACGACTACAAAACATTCAAAGTGACACCAATTTACTATTTTTCTACTGCCGGAAACACGTCGGTACATCCGCAACAATCGTGTGAGGCATCAACGCGATTATATCACTGACAGCACTGTTCATTACAGTTATTTCACTTCTCAGTTCAGCTTGCAATGAAATTCAATAGTTTGTCTTGAGAATTGAGAAACTCACTTAAGAACAGAAGTTAGTTCGTAACAGCTACTAATAGAAATATTATTATTTAGCAATGGCATCAACAAAGCTTCAAATTGTAACTAATATAAATAATTTGTTTCCAAACATGACACAGTGGTAATTTATTCCCACGTATCGCAGTAGTTGAATTCTGAAGGAGAAATGATCCCTGCAGAAGATGACTTTCCAATTAATAATATTTTATAACATATCGATTATATTTATAATACATAGAATCTACATCAAATGGAAAATTAGACGTAATGTGTTCTTTTCACTGATAAAAATAATTTTGACCTACAAAAAAGGGTAACTACGAAACTGCACTTTTTAATTTAAATGAGTTTTATCAAAGAAGTTATGACTCATTTGTGTTTGTTATTTTGCAAGTTGAATTGGCAAGTCCAAGTCCCGACAGTGGCAGGTTTTTCGACAGTGTTAACTAGGTCCAATTCAGCCGCTGTCTCGACGAAAATTCTAGCGGCCGGCTGCAATGAACGCTAGTTTTCCATGTTTTTCCTATCAATACCACGCGAATGCCAGAGCAGTAATCTAACAAACGAGCCACGGACCGCGCGCGATCTTTTCGTCTTTTTCCTTTTTCTATTCTCACCCATTCTCACCCACCGTACGCCCATTTCTACTTACATGCGCTACTATCACACATGTCAAGAGACCAGAGCTAGCTTGTTCTGGCTGGGACAGTGCCCCGGCGGTGGGTGATACCTGGTTGGGGAAAACCCTCTCAAGTCGACGTGTAGTTCGGTGCCCGATCTCGCCACCGACGGGGGGAAAATATCACTGCCGCCTCCCCCTATAGAAACCTGCATTACACGTACACGACTAATGACCTTAGCAGTTGACGTGCCCAGAATCCCTAATCAATCAATCGATCGATTACTTCTGCAGCAGTGGGGCCTTTTATATCTCAAAACTTGAACAAAAGTAAATGAGCATAGATTTTCGCAGCGCGCAATGTTGCGACTGTGAATATTCTTAACCACAATAGAAATTGTGTAAAAAACAACTTTTATTTGCCACGTATACTTCAGGTAGACGTTCAAACGCGAGTGCCGAAACATGCAAACGGGATAAGATATTTATGTAACCTGAGCACAATTACCTACAGCAGTAACTGCATGTCACATAATAACTGTGACCTCCAAGCGTTTTTGCGCGTTTGTATAAAAACGCACAGGGATACATCCTTCCCAAGTTCCGTTTGCTCATTTCGTGTCTTCCTTAAAGTGCGTTTTCTGCACTCTACCTCTCTTTCTTTCTCCCTCTTTCTTTCTCCCTCTTTCTTTCTCCCTCTTTCTTTCTCCCTCTTTCTTTCTCCCTCTTTCTTTCCTCCTCTTCCTTTCTTCCTTTCCTCCTCTTCCTTTCCCCCTCTTCCTTTCCCCCTTCATCCTTTCTTTTCCTCACTTCTTTCTTTCTCTTTAATTCTCTCTATTTCTCTCTGCCTAGTTCAGGCTCCGCCTTGTTCATTGCGCATTCGTATCGTGCATGTGCTTTTGTAAGGACGTTGGATCACTGTATCTTCCTCCGAGATTGTCCAAGGTTGGTCCTCCGAGATTGGTCGGAGGTTTCCATAGAAATGATTGATCAAATGCGTTACAAAATTTTCAATCCGTTTTCTTATTTTTTTTTAATAAAGGGTAGTGTTATCTGAGCCGGGGCGTACAACGTTTTCCTTAATTAAAGCAGCTGATAACAAAAGCAAGAGCAAAGTAAGGGTCTGCCTGCATGTCCCCTGCTTCGGAAGGAAAACACAGATAACGAGATGGCAGCTGCTTTCCTAATTGTTTGTTCTCTCCTGTTACTTTAGAATGATCAAGAATATCAATGTAGTTATTGACCTAAGGATTGGTATGTTGTTTAAGTTCCTGCAGATCGCACATTCTAGTTTTTATCACGACATCTATTAGCTTTCACTATCTACCTGCAATGTACTATTTGACAACTTGAAAACAGGACCTAAAACGTAAATAAGGTAGCTGAAATTGAAAGAACGAAAGCAGATACATGGAGGCAGCAAAATATTAAAAAGAAAATGCTACTAAGTCTTAAATCTTGAAATACTTAAGTACGAGTATAACGATAGGTGCAGGCTTTAATGAATACCATTAAAGTGAGCGCAAAACAAAATACAGTTTAAAGGAGTTCACGAAAAAGTAACCAACAATTATCAATTTGAACTTTTTTTCAAAGTGTGTCCTAGTCAAATAAATGTGGAAAAAATATTTTATTCTTAAACCCACTTACTGGCTGAGGTAGCTTAGGGAATCAACCGAATTTACTGTAGTGCTTCTAATCGGTAGATTTTATGTTTAGAGTGCTGACGGTGGTAGGATTTTCGACTCTAGTAGATAGCTAGGTCGAATTCAATCGCTGTATGAGGAGAATTCTAACCACGGATGCTCTGATCGGTAGTTCTCCGTGGTTTCTGCGATCAACACCAACCGAATACCGGAGCAGTACCTTAACAAACGGGTCACTGATTGCGCGATGTTTCCTTCCTCTTCCGTGTCCTATCCTCACCTCTTACGTATACACACTTACAATTACATGCGCTACACTACCACACATGTCGGAAGACCAGATGGGAGCTTGGAGTTTGTCCCGGCCTGGGACGTTGCCCCACTGGTGGGAGAAACCTAGTTGGGAAAATCCAGGAAGTCGACGTGTATGTCGGAGCTGGATCTCGCCATTCAGCTGGGAAAGAACACCGCCGCCGCTCGTGATAAAAGTACGCACTACACTTACGGGATTAATGTACCCGGAAACACGAAACAATCGATCTGAAGATCCTTTACACAACATTTCATTTCCCCACAAAATCTCGTAAACAAAACAACGCAAAACCCAGTTATTTACATTGCATTTCTTTGCCTTCTCTGAATCTTGCTGTTAAGACTTTACAGTTTAAATAGTACTTTGCTTTTATTCATTTTGAATATAGTAGCAACTTTGTTAATTTTTTTGCATGTTGTAATTGTGAATGTTATGTAAAGAAGTAGGCATCAACTCTTGCGGCAAAGAGGTTTATAAATTTCATGTATTTCTTTTTCTTGTTCGTCTTCTTCTTCTTCAACATACAAAAAGGAAATGGTCTACCAAAAATTTCACTTTCAAGACTCTCATCGTTTATCCGCTCCCTTTGATTTCCGTTTGTTGTATTGGCGAAAAGTACTCTCAAAAGCCGAACATTTTTTTAACAAATATAATTAACTCCTTACGAAGGTTCATTTATAATTTAAGTGATCCCATGAAATCACTGATGGAGAACGTGTAAAATATGGACACGCATCCACACTTATGATGCAACGTTGCATTGATTCATTGTGTGCATACTTTGTCAGACGCAGTAACTAAAGGAATGCCGCGGACTCATCCCGCACGAGCGCTTTGCACAAACGATTGGCGGCGGTGGCTGAAAGCCGGCGGCGGCGGCAGCCACGACGTCGCGTCGCCTACGTGCGCGATGACGCCGTCGCCCGGCCGTCGCGTGTGGGTCGGTCGGTTCGTGATGAGCCTCCGCGAAGACGCGCAATCCTTCCGTGAAGAGTCACCGGGCTCCATTTAGCACACGCCTCGCCACAATCAAAACCTACCCGACCGGTCGACCCTGACGTTGCAGTTAGTAGCGATGATCCAATATTATTTGTTGTATTCGGTTCGGAAAGTAACGCGTCATCCCCTTGGTAGTAATGAGATCATACTACGATAAATAAATAAAAATGTTGTCTGGTATCAATACTTTTTATTCAGCTTATGATCGTTTCGATCTCATAGCGATCATCCTCAGAACTTGCAGCTTTATTTATCATAATAAAAAGGTATCTACCTCACCAGCGATCTAATTAATGAGATCATACTAGTTGCATGACTTCACTGGGCTGATCTGTGGGTGCTCTCTTGTGGCATTCCCAAAGAATTGGCAGTTTGTGAGTAAGGACTGTATCTGGTGAGGAGCCTCCTTATGCATATGAGCTTAACAACTCTTTAGCACCATAGAACAACGTTGAAAAAATAAAGCTAATTTACGTTACGTT